TGTGCAGCTGCGGCGACTGTTGCAACTTGAAATCAAGCCACTAAACGAGTCGCGTTCGTCTATCATTCGCCGACTGACGACGGCCGATTGCTAACCTCAGCACCACATCCCCTGCCCCTCCCACTCCCCATGCAACTCTTTGCCCTTTTGCCGGTTGCATAGCCAATGCAAATTGCACGCCCACTGAAGCGGCCGGCGCACCCTCTGCAGCCAACGTCGAACCCCTGCTCAGAGGCTGCAGCGTGCAGGGATTGTGTGCTCAATATGCAGGCCATTGTGCAGCAACCCCCTTTTTCTACATATAACCTTTAACCCCCGGGCATGATGCCTTTTGTATCATCCACACGCACACACACACACACATAGAGAGCGAGAGGATGCACTTTTTTGGTTTGTGTCTTGAAATATTGGCAAATAAAAAGGCATGAAAAGCTTTCAACTTTAATTGGCTTCACGCCTGCTCTCACTCGCACTCGCACTCGCACTACCTCACTCTCACTCTCTCTCTCACTTTATCAGAGTCTTTCTCCTTCTCTGTGTGTCTGTCTGTCTCTGTTCGTTTCTTTGACATGCATTTGCCACCCCTCGTTTGTCGCTTGTGCTCATTAAACGTCAATTAATGTCACCTTCAACAACTGCAATTGCAATGCAAAAAGAAGTAAAAGGAGAGAAAAAAAAAACCGAACGAAGAGGCCCCGCATCCCTCGCTGCCCCTCCCTGCCTTCCTCTTCTACACTTCTTATCCTGCCTCATCCTGCTCCTGCTGCTGCTCCTGCTCCTGCTTCTCGCTGATTTTGTTTTGATTGTGACGCGTGCTTTGCTGTCACTTGGCTACCCCTGCTGCAGCCCAAGAGTGCGAGTGAGACAGCAAGTGAGAGAGACCAACGATGCCAAGTGCAGTTGCATGTGCAACAAGTGCTCTTTGTGGCCCATGGCAAGTGCCTTTCAAGTGGAGCCAATGCCTCTCGTCTGCAGTTAATATCTGCCGAGTCCTCCTCTTGCTCTTATCATATTATCCGTGTTCCTCATATTCTCACATTTAGTTACTGTCGCAGCAATAATTTCCAATTTCGAGCTAACCCGACTGCTTTGTTTAGTGCCACGCCTCCATGGGCGTTTGAGTGCCATTCCGATTTCTTTTAATCTCCTTCTTGAGCGACTCTCAAATATGATTTATTTATAATAGATACATACATTAATATATACATACATACACTAATTTATACATATATACATGCATGCAAACATATATAGTTTCATTCAATTATTATTCAACTATTGCCCTGAAAACCTTACCAAATTTATTGCAAGGATTTATTTCTTTTTCAATTAAATCATTAATTAAATTTAATTGTTATTTTAGCAAGCTATAAAAAAAAAATTGTATATAAATTTAATTTTTTGATACGAAGAAGCAGCCAATCTTAAACCTAATTTAATTAATGTAATGCATTCAATCAATACATAAAAATTCACGCACACAATAAAT